CTTGCCTCTTCCACTGAAAGGGAAATCACCTGGATGTCCTGCTTGGAAAAAAAGTGCCAGTGGAATAAATTCCCAGCTGATTGTCCGCTCCTTTGCTTTTACAAAACCTGCTGTGTGCCTGCTGAACTGGTGGCAGTGAGATTTCCTAAGCACACTCTTCAGGATTTGTTCCATTTACCTGTCACGGTGGTGGAAGCACCTACCTGCAAGTAAAATTTCGTGTTAAATTTCAAATTAAAATCCAAAATATCTGCCACGTCCCCAAAGCTGGATCTTAGCTGAGTCTGTGGGGCCTTACAGATTGCGTTTCTCTTAGAAACAAAACCAAATGAAGCCTTGTTAGTAAGCAAAGCACCTTCAAAAATCAGGTGTCTGAAAGACTAAATCTGTCTGAAATCCTGAGATTAATCCCTTTTGGAAAAATCACTCTGTATTTTGTGTCTCTGCTTTCAGAGTGGGGTGGGATTTGGAGTTTGGTTTGTTTTTTTCCTTATCTCCCAGTAGAGCTGTTCGACCTCAGAGTCCTGACCCTCCCTGTTGTAGAGGAACCCCTGGATTATTTTACCCTTCATTTGCAGGAACTGGTTTGTTGTTTTGAAACCTATGAACACTGACAGTGAATTTCTGTGTTTGTTTTGTTTTTGTTTTGTTTGTTTGTTTGCAGCAGGGTGAAAACACACTGGACTGCCAGTCCTGTGAGCCTTGTAACCCCCTTTAAACCTCTTGTTTTTTAAAAAGGCTTGCAGAAGGAGAGCAGATCTTGTCTGGTGGAGTGTTGAATAAACAGAAAAGCCATGATGACATTGTTATGGAGTTTGGGGACTCTGCATGCTTTACACTCTCCTTACTGGGACATGTCTACTGGTAAAGTTGCTCTTTCATTTTAATGAATCTGGGGGAGTTTTTGCTTGGCCAAGCCCAATTTTAATCAAATATATCTTCAGTCACCACCTGTCTCTGGGTTACACCATTTTGGAGCATCATGGGTGCAGGTTGTGGAATCCACTTTATTAGGTGGATTTTGGTGTTTTGGGTTTTTTTTTTTTTGGTTTATTTTTTCACCCAAAACTTCTGACTGAAAACACAAATTCCTCTTTCCCAGCTGGTTCAATGTGCAATCCAAGAAACTGCTGGTTTGGGGTGGTTTTTACCTTTTTAGATTTGCTTTGTGTTCTTCCCTGGGAAAGACTCTCAAAACCTGTTTTTCGGTGTTGCCATTTAGATTTTTCTGTATCTATTTTGCTATAACCTTCAAATCAAAGTGCTGAGGGTGCCAGGCAGAATAATTTGACAACTTTAAGCGTTTTGCATTTACCCAGATACAAGAAAGGTTTCAGTAAATGTAAATGATTGAATGGGAGTAGTGGGGTGCTTGGGTTCCTCTCCACTATGTCTGTTCTCGATTATTTTCAGAATCATTGCTTTGTAGCCAAATGCTCCAAATGTTCAGTTTAACCCCTAATTTAGGTGCAAAAAAAAAAAAAAAAAAAAAGATATTTAAAATGGCTGGAAGGCTGACAATCAGGTTGCTGGCTGCAAAAAAGAAACAAGCAGCATCTTCCTTAAATGAAAATCCTCCAGCTATTCTAGTGCTTATATAACTTATTTTTGTGGGTTTTTTTTTGACAACTGTGTCTAAATATGTCAAATAACTTCAAAAGGACTCAGTATTTCTCTGTGGCTTGAAAAATGAGGAATGTTGCTGTGCCTCTCAACACGTTTTGGGGTTGGTTTTTTTGTTTGTTTGTTTGTTTTTCAACTCTTCTGGAAAGCTCTCTCTGAACAAAAAGTGCTGTTCTTAAGTTTCCCTGTGAACTGTTCCATTCTTTTTTTTTGTTTTATTTTTTATTTTTGCAGCAAGACAGACCGGCTTGCCAAAGGATCAGAATGTTACCAAAAGAGCCTTAGTTTAAATCCTTTCCTCTGGTCCCCTTTTGAATCACTCTGTGAAATAGGTGAGTCTGCAGAGCTGTTTTACTCATTTAAGGTGGTTTTTTTTTTTTACCTGTCTGATTGTGTCAGCCCGTCCCTTCTGCCACCACTTGTGACAAGGAGAGTTCTCTGAGGAGGTTTTGTGATTTCAAATTCTTTGCCAGTGTTTAGGACTTTTTGTATTGTGGGTTTGTTTTTTTTTTCCCATTTTCGCTGTTTATACATTTTTGGGTTTAACGATACCACGTGTTTTCCAACCTACAGTTGGTAGCCCCTTAGAAACTGTGTTTCTGAGAATAGCTTGAAAAAACAAGTCTATTTATATTAAAAAATGGATTGTCAAGGGTTTTTTTAGTGGAAGAACACTTCAGATTTGGTGTAAGGGGGTCTAGTGGGAAGTGTCCCTGCCCAGGGCAGGGCGTTGGAACTGGATGATCTTTAAGGTCCCTTCCAACCCAAACCATTCTGGGATTCTGTGAAATGCATTAAAATACTTTCTCCCTCTCCTTGTCTCTGACTGAACACTCCGAGGATAAACTCAGGAATAACTATTTCAATCTCCTTCCACTCTCACAGGTGAAAAGCCAGACCCTGACCAAACATTTAAATTAACATCCTTACAGAACTTCAGCAGCTGCCTGCCCAACACTTGCACAACGTTGGTGTCCAACCACAACATATCCCACAGGCAGCCCGAGAGTGTCCTCATGGAAACCCCCCAGGACACCATTGTGAGTGTTGCTGAAATCCTTTCGAGCCACTTTTCCCAGCTTAACTGAACAATTGTTGATTAATCTACGCCTGTGAGTGTTTGACAGCTGCCTTCCATCCTTCAGGAGCTGAACAGAATCAACTTAGAATCCTCCAATTCCAAATACTCCTCCCTGAACTCGGATTCTCCCGTGTCTTACATCGACTCTGCTGTGATTTCATCAGATCCTGTCCCCCTGGGCTCAGGAACTGCCATCTTGTCCAAACAGGCTCAGAACAAACCAAAAACAGGCCGCAGTTTACTGGGGGGACCTGCAGCTCTGAGCCCCCTGACCCCCAGGTGAGTCCTTGGCTGTGCTGGGGCTCATTTGGGGGTTGGGAACAAGGAAACTGCTGCACCCTCACCTAAACAACTTAAATATCTGCTCTTGGTCCTGGCATCGGGCTCTTCTGGTTTTTAAACTCACAGCTGGTGGCTTGGAAGAGGAATTGTTGGTTCAGGGTGTTGCTTATTGCCATGTTCGTGTGAGCTTGGATGTGGGGAAAAGGTTCTTCCCCCAGAGGGTGGTTGGCACTGAACAGGCTCCCCAGGGCAGTGGGCACAGCCCCAAGGCTGCCAGAGCTGCAGGAGGGTTTGGACAACGCTCTGAGGGACAGGGGGGGATTACTGGGGTGTCTGTGCAGGGCCAGGGGTTGGATCAGTGATCCTTGTGGGTCCCTCCCAGCTCAGGATGTTTTATGCTCTGATTCTCTGTTTAACCCCAGCTCTCCTGGTCTACCCCTGCCCCTTCCTCTCTGTGTTTTTGTTCTCAGCTTTGGAATTTTGCCACTAGAAACCCCGAGCCCTGGAGATGGAACCTATTTACAGAACTACACCAACTCCTCCTCTGTAATCGATGTGCCATCCACAGGAGCACCTTCAAAGAAGGTATTTTGCATTCTGGGATGTATTTACTGTTCTGAGAGCTGGACATTGCACTCTAAATTAGAGTCCATAATACAGATTAAAAACCTATCTGAGCTGCTGATTTCTTTTTCCCCACCCAAAATGCCCAGACATGTCCAGGCTGCCCTGCTGGTGTTGCTGGAGTAACCTGAGGAAGTTGCTGCATTTTCTGTCACAGGGAATTGGATAAATATTGATGCTTCCAAACAACAAAAGATTCAAACAGGGTGGAGTGTGAAGACTTAAAGTCTTGTTTAATCAGTGTATTTTTCAGAAGGAGCTGAAGCTTCTGCTTTCTTGCAAGCAGTTCTTGAGCTCTGGTTTACAAACCAGAGTAATAAAAATCCTACTGGTGGTTTGGGGAGGAACTGAGATTGGTGCAGTTTCACTCAGCAAAGTCTTGTGTAGAGGAAACTAAAAATTGTCCTTTTTTTTTTCACTCAGGAAGAAAGTGCCATAGTTGCCATAGTGATAAATGAGAGGTGGAATGTTGGTGACAGTTGAAGAACTATTTGTTCCTTTTTAAAAACAAAAAAAACCTGAGGATTTTTCCCTGTAAAAAACCAAAAAAACCCCAAAAACCAACCAACCAAACAAAAAAAAACCAGTTGCATGGGGGATGTTTTTATAGGGGGGCAACTCTTTAAAGTTAAATTCAGTGCAAATAATAGTGGTGAAATCCCCTTGAGAAGCAGAATTTGAATTTCCACGTTTGCCCTGGACAAATCTCGGTGCCCAACTCGCTGAAAGGGAAATGTGGGAGCTGTGCTGAAACAAATCTGCTGGGAGACATCCACACGGATCCCATTCCCAGCCTGGAGTTCCTCAGGACCAGCAATTTTCCAAGGCACATTTCAAAACGCTGCCCCGTGGTGGGAGGTGAATTTCCACCAGTCTGGAAATGGAAACAGGGAAGTTTGGAGGGGGAATTTGCTGCTGTTTCGTTGCTTTGAGCGACACAGCAGCCCCGAGGTGCAAGTTTACTACTCCCTGCCCAAATTCATCAGTGCTGTTACCAAAACACTGATATTTGAGATATTTTCCTCAAATTCAGTTCTGCTCTTGGTGGAGCCGTGCCTGGCTGAACCCAGGCAGTTTCCTAGGAAACACTTTTACAGAAAGGAATAAAAACATCAGGATGAATCCATTCCTCTCTGAGTGGCCAAGTGTGTTTGGGGCTGCCTAAGCTGCCCCTCTTGAGAACAGAAACTGGGAAGGGGAAAGGGCAGAGCAGGGCTTGGGAAGTGCAGAAATCAGCGTTGCTTGTGCTGATTTGATCCCACTCATCTGTTTTTTTTGGGGGGTCTTGAGGAACATCCCAACAGCCACCACTGAGCTCAGTCTTGGTGTCCTTGGAGTGGGCAGAATGACTTGTTTTGGTTTTTTTTTTTTTTTTTTAAGCTTTTCTTTGAAAAAAATAGGAAGAGAATAATCTGTTCTGAGCCATCAGACAGTGAATTTCTCCCCAAACTCCTCCTGCTCCAAAGGCTGGAGAATTAAAACGGGGGAAATAGTGATTTATGGTGTGTTAAAACAGGCTCAGGTGCTGTGCAGCGTCAGTGGTGAACGGATGGATGGGATGGGGAAAAGGATAACTCAAATATTTTTCTTTCCATGTTTTTTTTTTTTAAATGTGACATCTCTTAATTCCCTTTCAGAGCACAGTTTCTTGCCACTAGGTGGAGATTTTATATCTCCAAATAACGTGCATGAAGTTTGATAAATTTGGTGTTATTAACAGGTAGAATGAGCAATCCTCTTGATGGTTCCTCCCTGGAATGAGGTGAACTCTTCCCCTTTTATTTAAATAATTCTGTTTCTCCTCCTTGGGGCCGGTTTGTGGTGGGCAGGAATTGGGTGTAGCAGAGGTGGAGATTCCTTAGTGACATCATAACAAACCTGCAGAAACTCTGTGTTGTGCAGACTGTCAGCAGGATAAGCCAGGCTGGAACAAAATCTGTCTTCTCCCAGAGTGGGAACAGCAGGGAAGTCACTCCAGTCCTTGTTGCACAAACACAGAGCTCTGGTCCCCAGACAAGGTAAGAAAGAAATAAAAACCATCTTGGTATTATTGTTGTTGTTTTTTTTTTTCTTTCCTTGAAAGAATTTGGTGCTTTGTCAGCCCCAACCTGTGGGGGTTGTTCCTGCAGAATTCAAAATTTGGCTGAGGAAGTGGGGGTGAAATAACTCCAGTTATTTGTTGAAGTAATTTAAATTAACCAGTGCATTTACATCACTTTCATCAGTAAATAAATAAATAAATAAATAAATAAATAGCTGGAAGGAAATTCTGCTCTTGGGGGGGGGGGGTTTATCCCTTGAAATGTGAATTCCTGTGCTATGGCACTCGAGCCTCTCTGTTTAAAACAAATATAAAAACTGTTACTATTTTAAAAAGGAGCAAAGAACTTTGATTTTTTTTTTTTAGCCTGTAATTGTTTTATTTTTGGTGGTTTCCAGTACAACACCTCAGGTATTGAGCCCAACCATTGCTGCTCCACCAAACTCACTGCCTCGAAGAAGCTCTCGCCTGTTTACCAGTGATAGTTCTACAACAAAGGTAACACTGGAGAAATTTGGGGTTTCTAACCCACCTAAGAATATCAACCCTTAATTCCCAACATTTATAGCCATTTTAGCAGCTTAAAAACAGATTTTTTTAGTGAGCGGGGCGTGATTCTTTTATATAATTTTACACAATTCACTCGTTTCTGAATTTAAAAGTATTCTTCTGTGTGTGACTCTTACTCTTCTTGCTTGCAGGAAAATAGCAAAAAGTTAAAAATGAAGTTTCCACCCAAGATCCCCAACAGGAAAACAAAAAGTAAAACAAATAAGGGAGGAATAACTCAACCAAACCTAAATGACAGTTTGGAGATCACCAAACTGGACTCTTCCATCATTTCAGAAGGGAAAATTTCCACTGTTGCTCCACAAATCCAAGCTTTTACCCTCCAGAAGGCAGCAGCAGGTCTGTTTGAACACCACTGCACTGTAGTAAAATATGATATATCCGGTTTTTTTAATGCTGAATGAAAAAATAATGTTACTTCGGTGTTCCTTTGGTTTCCTGTTTCATTTAGCCTGCACCTCTGTGTGATTATAAAAACTGATTTGACTCAGTATTTTCTCGTTAACTGATGTGTGAAGAAGTGTTAGAAGTGGCTGGTTGTCAGCAGATACATCTTACAAGCTCTGGTGCTTGTTAATTATTGAAGTATTTTCTAGGTGGTTCTTGTTAATTATTAAAGTATTTTCTAGGTATTGATATATAAAGTCCTATAAACTATATATAGTATGTTAATTGTAAAAGTACAATATAATGCTGTTATATCAAAACATTGTATTATGAAATATTAATATAATAATAATAGAAAGTATTATAAAATACTAATGGTTCAAGAATTACCCTTGGAAACTCCAAGGAGTTGCTCCTAACTCAGCCATCTTCCCTCAAAAGTGGGCTTGATGTGGCCTGTTCTCCCTTCTTATTTCCCGCTTGTTTAAAAACCAAATCTTTATTCAGATTGTGAGGGGGAAAAAAAAATCTTAATCAAACTGGTGAATTCCTCTCTTTTGGCTCAGCAAGGTTTCCAGGCAGCAGGGGAGGTGTATCCATGGCTACCCCCTGGAAACTGTGCTCAGACCCGGGGAAATGCTTGGAAAGCTGCTGGAAAAGCAGGATTTCCACTTGCCCTGAGCTCCAGGGTTTCTTAAGAGCTCCTCACCGTCTGCCTTCCCCTATATTCAGAATTATCATCTGGATGTTAGGTGGATATTCAGAATTATCATGCCCAGTCTGAGGCTGTGCTCAGAAAGATTGATTTTTCCCAGGTAAATTCCAGAGCCGTGCCTGCCGCGAGGGGAGAGCTTTTCGGGGGGCTGAGCACTTCCAACTCCCCCAGATCTGTTTCTTTTCGTTGGGCCCCTCTTTCCTTACTGCATTTTTCTCCCAGAAGGTTTGATGAGCCTCCTGAGGGACATGGGCAAGGGTTACTTGGCCTTGTGCTCCTACAACTGCAAAGAGGCCATCAACATCCTGAGCCATCTGCCCTCCCACCACTACTACACAGGCTGGGTGCTGTGCCAGATTGGCAGAGCCTACTTTGAGCTGGCAGAGTACATGCAGGTAGGACCTCAGGGTTGCTTTTCCTCTTTCCACTTTTCTCTGATAGTTTTTTTTTTATGTTATTTGTTCTTCCACCCAACTCTTGGGGTCTCCTCCTTGTCTGTCCTCACCTGCAGCTTTGCTGATGGAACCGGCTGTGCGGTGTTTGTAAATCATCACCGAAACGATTTTGGGCTCTAAACTAAACTCCTCTGTGTTTTGAGTGAATTCATCTCCCATCCGTGCCCCAGTTTCCCTTTCAGGCTCAGGAGCACTGGCACAGCTGAGGTGCTGGCAAACAGGAGTGAGCAGTTCAGGGTAACCCCCCCAGTTTAACTCTCCCTGGCACTGCTCTTCCTGGCAGCTGATGGATCTGATTTTTTTTTTTTTTCCCCAGGTTTTTAAAACACTTTCTGGCAGAAATATGTGCTGGAGACAGACCCAGAAGGTTTCAGAAGGGGGGTTTTAAACTATGCACATTCTGCTTAGAGCTGGAGCCTGTTGGGCTGCTTAATGGTTCCTTTACAAAGCTGAGGCTACAGCCCAAATCCCACAATTCCAGACTGGTTTGGGTGGGAAGGGACATAAAGATTGTCCAGTGCCACCCCCTGCCATGGGCAGGGACACCTTCCACTAGTTCAGATTGCTCCAACCTGGCCTTGGACACTTGCAGGGATCCAGGGGCAGAACACTTACAAAGCCAGGAGGATGCTCAGGGTGGATGTGAAACCTCTCACACACAATCGACCTCCGAGCTCTGCTCTGGTGGGGGAGGATTTTGGTTTGAAGTTCTCCTTCTCTTCTTAGGCCGAGAGAATATTTTCAGAAGTCAGGAGGATTGAGAACTACAGAGTAGAAGGCATGGAGATCTATTCCACCACCCTCTGGCACCTGCAGAAAGACGTTGCCCTTTCGGTTCTTTCCAAGGATTTGACGGACATGGATAAAAACTCACCGGAGGTATAAAAAGCCACGGGTTGGAGGGGAGGAAAGGGGAACTGCACGGGGCAAAATCAATGAGCTCTGAGCTCTAATCATCTTTTTTTTTTCCTATGGGGATACACCTGAACGCGGCAGGATTGTCACTTTGAACTCCTGATGCCCAAAATGCCTTCCTAAAATTCAAATACCCCCTGGTGTGGAACAGGTTGAAACCTTTCATCTGCTCACGGTTATTTAAATTTGCATTGGCACTGCTGATCCAGGGTTACTCAGTCACTCCTGCCAGGCTGCAGAGATAAGGAATATCTTTTTTTCCTGTAACCACCCCTTAATTGTTGGAGTTAATTCCCTGGCACTTGAAATGTTTGTTCAGGAGTTTATTTGCAGATGTGATGTTGCACATTTCCATCCCAAAGTCCATGAAACTGCAGAGTGTGTGGCAATGTGGGGTCATGAGGTGCAAGAACCCTTTTAAAGGATGCCACAATAAAAATAATAATATGTAATATACATTTATAAATGTGTGCTCTGAGAGAGGCGTAGGGGATATTGGGATTTTTGGTTTTTTCCCCCTGCAGATTTCCAGATTTGTCACTTGGAGGGAGCTTAAGAGTGGAAAGTACCATCTGCCCCTTCATTATTCTTAAATATCAAAGATGTTTTATTTTTGGCCTTCTCAGCTTCAGAAGCCTGAAGTCATTAATCACCAGAGGATCTAATTATCACAAACTTGTCGAGTGTCCTTAAATTCTCCATTTCTGTGTTCCAGCTCGTGTGTTTGTTTATTTTATGAGGTGTCTTTAGGCCCCTTTCCCTCACAGGAACGAGACTCAAGTGTTGATTTATCACTGTTTATTTTGGTGTTTTTTTTAATCTAGGAGGAATTTATTTAGAACTAGGAAAAAAAAAAAAATAAATGTGTTCAGCTCAGCTTTAGTCCCTCTGAGGTGCAGAAAGGATTCCAACCCTGCCCTGTCTTTGCCAGGCCTGGTGTGCTGCAGGGAACTGCTTCAGCCTGCAAAGGGAGCACGACATTGCAATCAAGTTCTTCCAGAGGGCCATCCAGGTGGATCCAAACTATGCCTATGCCTACACCCTGCTGGGCCACGAGTTTGTGCTGACAGAAGAGCTGGACAAAGCCCTGGCTTGTTTCAGGAATGCCATCAGAGTCAACCCCAGGCACTACAACGCCTGGTAGGTGTGGGTTTGTGCCCTGCTGTTCCTCGAGGTGAGGGATTCCTGCGGGAGGAATTATCTTCTGGATGCTGCCCCTGCTGGGATTTCATGGAATTCTAGGATGGTTTGGGTTGGAAGGGACAGCTCCCACTAGAACAGGTTGTTCCAACCTGCCCTTGGACACTTCCAGGGTCGGGGGATCCACAGCCGATTTCCCACTGCTCTCTCTGGGAAGAGAGCAAAGCTCTTCCTGCAGAAGGTGTGGGGTTCATGTCTTTATTAAATAAACATTTACTTCCACAAGGAAGGCAAAAAACCTGGAGATTTTTGATTTTTCCACAGGTCTTTCAGGCTGTCCCTCTGTGCAGCATTCCTTGTGCATCCAGTTATTTTTCCTCACCTGCAGTTCAGTGAGGAACTCAGCCCCTTCATACCTTGGGATGCAGTTAATTTCTTACAGCTTTTTAATGTGTAAAGCAGTTAAAAATTAGATTTGTGAGTGTAAGTCACTTAGTCTTGAACTTTTTTTTTAATCCTTTTATTTTGTGGCTGCTTAGCCAGTCTTCCTGTAGTTCTTCAACTACCTCAGTGAGGAAAAAAAAAAAAAGTAAATTTTAGACACAGCTTCCTGGCAAGTCTACAAACCACTCACTGCCAAGAACTAATCTGATTAAAACAAAAAGTGTCACTTAACAGAGTTGTTTCTGTGCCTGCAGGTACGGGCTGGGCATGATTTATTACAAGCAGGAGAAATTCAGTTTGGCAGAAATGCATTTCCAGAAAGCCCTGGACATCAACCCTCAGAGCTCAGTCCTGCTGTGCCACATCGGAGTCGTAAGTGGATTGTGCTTCATCCTTGGCTTTTTCACCCTGCACTTGGCAGGAGAAAAATCACTTTAGTCCTCTCTGGAGTGCAGTGATTTCTGTCCTGCCTGTGTTTCCTCTTTTGCTTCTTTTGTCCCAGGCAGGTGTAGAGGTCACAACCCACTTCTTAAGGCAGCTTTGTGCCCCGTGGGATTTAATTAATTAATTAATTTAATTTCGCTCAGGAGACCTCAGCCACCCCCCCCTCAGTTCAGTTTACAGGGCTGTTTGGAAAGTCAGTCCTGGAAAACCAGCAGCCTCACTGGCCAATCTTGCTGACAGAGTTGGGAAATAATTCTTGGATGTTGGCTCTGAGTGGGGGGTGGGGACCTGCTGGCTCTCATTTGCCCCCAAAACTGTGCCCCATCCCACAGGAGCTGTGGCTGCTTCTCCTTTAAACACAGAGCAAGATTTCTGGCTTCACTCCTGGCCAGAGGATTTTAAAATGATTTCTGCAAGGCCTTGGGTGGGGAGAAGGTTTTGGGGTGGAGACAAAGTGAGGAAAACCTGTTCAAACTTGGTCTAGAATCAGGCCGGTATTTTTCCTAAAGGAGCAGATCATAATCAAACATAATCAAAAAGGTTTGAGATGTTATTTTTCCATTTCAAAATTGCTCTCCCTCTCTGTGGCAGGTCCAGCACGCACTGAAAAAATCTGAGAAGGCTTTGGACACGTTGAACAAAGCCATCAACATCGACCCCAAGAACCCACTATGCAAATTCCACAGAGCTTCGGTGTTGTTTGCCAACGAGAAGTACAAGGTGAGATTGGTTTCTACATTATTTTTTTTTTTTAAATTTATGTGTTGATGCATTATCTAAATTTAATTTCTTTAGATATTTACATTGTTGTCATTTTTTTTTCTGACCTGTTATTGTGAGTTTATACCGAGTTACTAAATTATTTGGCCCTGGTGAAGCAGTGAAATAAAAGATTTGGGCTCTCCCTTTCTCAGGCTCAGACTTACAAGATTAAAGTTTATGCTGCTCACAGAGACTGCATAAAAGTTAATTAAATGTTCTGGCTTTTAGCACCACTTCTAAGGGAGCTTAGATTGATAAATGTTGCTGCTGCTGGGTAAATAAATGCAGGTTTACACCTTGATTTCTGTGACAAGTCCAAACTTGAAATTGTGTTCACACGAGGAGGTTTTAGAGGATTAAATGGAGCTTTTATAACTAAAACCAATGTTTTATTTCTAACTGCAGACTTATTTTTAGGTTGAATTCCTTTGTGATGCCAGGGGACTGTCACAGCAGAATAAATAGCTCCAGCATCAGCAGTTACTTTGAAAGTAAAGTGGAAATCTGACTAAATATTTTGGGTTTCAAATGCAATATAAACACAGTCTTTTGCAGAAGTCCCCAAAATGCACATCTAAACCCAGAATTCTTCAAAAGCACAGGCTTGAGATTAGTACATGCACCACAAAACACATCAATATTATGTTTTAGGAGTTAAATAAGTCACAATTTGATGTCACAACTGGTTGCAGATCTCTGGCTTGTGCTCACTACACTTTTTTTTTTTTTTTTTCATCTTCCTTTCAGTCAGCTTTACAAGAACTTGAAGAATTGAAGCAGATTGTTCCCAAAGAGTCTCTTGTTTACTTTTTAATAGGAAAGGTAGGTTAAAAAAAACCCTCCCTGTGACCACAAATCCTCTGTTTTTCCTGTTGCTGCTTAATGAGCAAATGTCACTAAGCTGCTTCCACCTGGAGCAGCCTTCTAAAAATTCCCAAAGCTTTAAATAAGGCTTAGTGCTCCCAGCTTTATTCTGGAGCAGCTTCTCAATGCAGAGGACACTTAAAGAGAGCTGTTCCTGGAATAAAACAAAACCAAGGGGGGGGAGGGGAATAAAATCACCCAGGCCAGTTGTTACTTTTGGCCTGCTTTGATTTCCCCACTGATAATTAATTTTAAAAGGCTTTTTTTTTCCTTTTTTTAAAAGGATTTCTTCCCAAAATCCCACCTAACCCTTCCGTCTGTGAGTTTGAAGCCATTTCCCCTTGTCCTGTCCCTCCAAGCCCTGTAAAAAGTCTCTCTCCATGTTTCTTGTAGCCCCTTCAGGCACTGGAAAGATATAAAATATATAAATATATATAAAAAGATCCTGATAAAGAAACTTCATTCAAAAGGGACACTTGGCTGTGTCATCATTCCCTGGAAATGGGATTCTGTCAGGATTTGATTCTCAGGATAGCAGTGATGTTTGCAGTGGAAATGCTGAAAACTTGGAGGGGTAGCAGAGTTGATTATTTGCAGGTTGTACCAATTAAAATATTGAATCACATTCTGGGGCACTGGGTCAAAAACCCTGAATAAGAAATAATTGCTCTTTTTTTTTTTGGTGTGAAATGCCGGAGGAGTGACCTGGTAACAGGAATCCTCCTTTCCCACCCCCTCCTCTGCTCCTGAGCTTTAAAGAACTTCCTGCTGGGAAACAACCAGACAAACCTCTGGCACAGTCCTGGAGAGCTCTGTCAGCAAGATTTCTTTATTTTCTTTTTAAAAAAACTAAACAGAGATAAAAGGTTTGACCTGAAATGTCTTGACTGGTGTTTGCCCAGGACCCTTAAAGTGACATCACACTTGCCATATCCTGATGAATTTAAATATTTCCACTGTTTCAGTGTTTAACACAGGTAAATTATTTGCTCATCTGATCTTAATGATAAGGAATCAGCTGCTAGTTTAATGTAATTTTGGGATTTTTAAGCAGAAACCCTTGCTCTTTCTACACACATTTATTTCCTTTGGGACTCATAAAATAACTTTTTCATCCCTCCCCCCCTCTGTTGCTTTTCATAAACCCTCAGTTCCCTGTAGCAGCTTCGTGTAAATGGGAGTTTTTTCTGCATTATTCTTTTTTTTTTTTTTTTTTAATGTTATTTTTAATTTATTTTCAGGTTTATAAAAAACTGGGGCAGACCCACTTGGCCCTCATGAATTTCTCCTGGGCCATGGACTTGGATCCCAAAGGAGCCAACAACCAGATCAAAGAGGCCATTGACAAGCGTTACCTTCCTGATGATGAGGAGCCCATCACTCGAGAGGAGCAGATCAGTGAATGTTACCCCTATGAATCAGGTTTGGATTTCCAACCCCTCTTTTCTTTTTCATTTAAAGAGGTTTTTGTTGGTTTTTTTTCTCCCAGAGCAAGATCCCTTCATTTTTCCTACTCCGAGCATATATTAAATAAAGGGTTATTTCACAAAGGGGGCTTTTGATGGGAAGCAGTTTGGGGTTGAATGAAGAGAAAATAAAACACTTTAGGGGAATAATCCACAAGAAGGGATAAGCCCAGGTTTCTCTTCTCTCAGCTTTTTTGATTCTGAGCTTAAATTCCTTTTGACAGTTGTAAATGGTGACCTCTTTGGAGGCTGAAACAGAGATGGAAAATCAAATGCTGATGAGCAGTTTAATTCTTTTCCTGAAAGGAAGAAAATATGGCAGGGTTGGGGTTCTGGAATTGATCTGCAATTCCAGATCCTCAGCTGGAAAAAGCAGGACAAGGTTCCAGCTGTTTATCACTTTGATTTTTTTGATTGAACCTGTGTGATTTTTAATATGGGAAATTTGCCCTGCACTTCCTGAAAGATCCATCTGGATTTTTTCCTGCTGTTGGAATTGGGTTTAATTTAAAGCCTGAGCATCTTCTGACCAGGAGATGGAGACAGAGACTGGAACTGTTAAGCAATACCAAAAAAAAAAACAAAACAAAACAACCCAACAGCTTAATTTGTCCAACAAATGCTGACAGATTGTTCAGGGGTTCCACAGCCTCAGCTGAACGACTCTCTGGGGTTACATGAGGAGTAATTTAAGGTAGTCCTGGGAAAAGGGGGAAGTTGTTTGGAATATTCGGGGTCGTTTAAGGCATTTTAGGACATGAAGTTGCCTCCTGGAGTGTTTTCTTTAAAGCAGTGAAGTGCATCTGTGTTTTCTCCACGTGAGAAACAAGTGAGGATTTGGGAATTTACAGTTAATTTGTGCAGAGCAGGGTCCAGTCACGTCCCTGTGTGGGAAGAACAACCATCATCAGATATTTGCCTTTTTGTTCTGGCCTCAACAGGCATGGAATTTAAATATTTAAGGGTGGCCTCAGGTATTGTGTGCAGTGTTGTGTGTCAGGGGAGCAGGGGGAGCTGCCCAACCCTCCTGAGGTGATTTTGGGATCTTCCCTGGCAATCCCAAGCCTGACTTAGTGTTGGATATTGCAGGTTTTTAACAGAGTGAGGCCAAGGCAGTGGGTTTTGGTAAGGGGTACTTTGTGGTTTATTGGTGTGAATTCCTTTTGAAGTTTATTTAGGATTAGGGAGCAGTGGGTTCAGACTGAAAGAAGGGAGATTTGGGGGAGATATTGTGAAGAATCTCGTCCCTGGAAGGGTGGGCAGGCCCTGGCACAGGTTGCCCAGAGAAGCTGTGGCTGCCCCTGGATCCCTGGAGTGTCCAAGGCCAGGTTGGACGGGGCTTGGAGCAACCTGGGCTGGTGGAAGGTGTCCCTGCCCAGGGCAGGGGGTGGAACTGGATGGGCTTTGAGGTCCCTCCAGCCCAAACCATTCCAGGTGTCTGTGATTTCCCTGGGCTCCTCCAAGCTGTCAGGGCTCAGGTTTTGCAGGAAAATGGGAGAAGCCCCAAGGCTTTAAAAAACACTGTGAGGGGAAGCCCAAACCTGTTGCTGTTGAGATGCTGGAGAGGGTTGTGGGGGGATCCTGGCAGTGGAGTTTGACCCTTTTTGTGTCCTTTCTCCTCCTCCTCCTCCTCTGCAGTTGGCACGGACGAGTCCCAGGAGAGCAGCATGACGGACGCAGATGACACGCAGCTCCACGCGGTGGAAAGCGACGAATTTTAACCTCCAAGAGCCACTGTCTGAGCCTGAGTGTGTGTGACTGGTACTGTCGTGTCCTCCCCTTCCTTCCCACCCTGGGTGTTCACCTCTCTGAGCCAGCGCTGTCGTCGATCTCCACTGACACCCCACGAGTGGCACCTCAGAGCTGAGCTGTGCCAGAGTCCATGGCAGTGCAATATCCAGCTGCTGCTGCTGCTGAGTCTGACTAGGTTGGCTCTCACACATTTATGAAAGTGACTGACTGAGGAAGAAGAAATGCTGGTTTTTGGACTCCCCTTTGCTGGAAAACAAACAAACAAACAAAAAAAACTCACCAATATCATGGAAGACAGACTTGTGGTTTGCTGTATGGAAGGCAGTAGATGTGGGGATAGTACTAATGACGAGGTGTCTTGTTCTTTTTTTTCCAGAAAAAAAATGTGTCTTAGTTTGGGTCTTTCTTGGTAAGCAGAGTGCTGAACCTCATTTCCAAGTTCTCCAAGGACAGTGGTGACAAAACAGGACTCTTGCCTATTGTAGTGTGACTGAAATGCCAGGGAGTGTCGGTGACCTCGAAGCTGCGGCGTCTCCAGCGAGCCAGCCCAGGACTGGGAGCGAGTCCCCCCCACGGAACAACAGCCTGTGGGCCCTGCTCAGAGAGCAGGCTGCAGGAGAGAACCTCCCACTGCAGGATCAGAGCTTTCCTCAGATGCTTTTCATGTCCTAACCATGAATTAATTTATTGGCTCGGGAAGGGGCAGTGTTTTACTCTGCCCTCGAGTCAGCACCACCTCGCTTCGTTTCTCCTGCACCCCTCCACTTGTTCTTCCCCCTCTTAAGAGTAACAGAAATTTAATAAAGGGCAAAATCAAGAGACAAACGAGGTACAAGTGTAATGTTGACAGCGTGGAACCCTTCATCCTGAGAGAGGGGGAAGACTGTG